CCATGTACTGTGCTGGACGTTGGAGTCATGCACTTGTGCACTGACACATGCTCATACCCAGCCCACAGTCACCTCGAAGGGCCTTGTCTCCATTATCCAATCATCATCACCAAGGGGTTAAAGTGTGGGCTCTGGAGCTACACTAAAAAACCCGATTCTGAGTCATGACGACCCCCACTGGGTCTCCAAGACTATAAATCTTTTTGGAAGTAGATTGCCGCATCTTCGTTCCATGGAGTAACTGGTAGGTTCAAACCACCTACCTTTTGGTTATCAGCCCAATGCCTTAACCACAGCACCACTAATCTAAGTTTCCCTGCTTATAAGTTGTATGAACATGTACTCCTCAGTTTTCCCCTTTGTAAAGTGGGAATAATGATGGCGAAGAAGATGGTAATGATGATAAGAGCTGCCGGGAGATTTAAATGCATGTAAAGCACAGAACTGGCTTGTAGTGTGGACCCGATGAATATTAGCTGTTAGTGCTATGGTGGTTGTGGTTATAACTGACTTTGTGGCATGTTTGTCTCTTGCTCCCTACCTGGGGCTGGACCTCATGGAGGAGTTGTCAAGATAGCAGGTATGGCCCCTGCATCCGCTTTCCATACCTGGCCTAGCACTCAGAATGGGCCTCTTCGGGCCTTACTCCATTCAAGCCACTCTGCCCATGATCTTAGTTTGTGAGGGTGAGGGGGTTAGCAAGGGGCATCCCAATTCCCTTTGTTTCTGCTTCGGCCTCTCCTCTCCTGAAAAGACCCTTGGGATTGGAGCTGTTTTAGGGTCCGGTGCTTTCTCTGGCCCCAAGTGTGGCCCTGATCACTCACTCCCCATCTTGGGGCCTCAGTTTCTACCTGTAAACTAAATTGGCTGCTAAGCCTGATGGACCTCCCAGCCCTGACTCCTGCAGGAAGTTTCACCACCCCCTAGCCTCTGCGCGCCCCCAGCCTGGTTCAGGCAGAGTGAGGGGGCGAGTTTTCGCAGTCACCATGGACACTAATCTCCAAGAAGGTCAGCCAGGCTCCCGGACTGCGTTGGCTGGATGGGGATTAGCACTTGGGTATGAGCCCCTCCTTCCAGTGCCTCCACTCCCAGGTGCCCCCACCCGAACCCAGACCCTGGGCAGCCTCCAAGCCCAGAAGTCCCCAGGCTGGGCCGGAATCAGCAGAGTGAATGGAGGCAGGGCAGGTGCTAGCTGCTGATGTGTCTGGCCGGGGCCAGGTGAGAAAGGGGGAGGGATGGAGTCAGAGCCATGCCCTTTCCAGTTCACAGCCCTCAGTCCCTGGTTAGGGCAGGGGGATTCTAGGCCTCAGTCTTTTCCCTCTTCATCTTTTGCCCTTTAATGGGGGAAGATGGGCCTCTCAAGACAGGGGTATCACCTGCACCTCCAGATCTCGCTGCCCCATGTATACTCTACCTTGAAGCCACTTCTTTCTCCTCTCTTGGGGTAACTTCTTTATGCCTGGGTGGAGCAGATGGCCAAGCGCTGGGCTACCAACTGAAAAGTTAGTGGCTTGAACCCACCCTGAGATGCCTCAGAAAAAAGCCTGGTGATTTTCTTCCGAAAGGGCCCAGCCATGAAAATCTCATGGAGCAGTTCTACTCTGAGACACATGGGGTCACTGTGAGTCAGAATCAACTCAGAGGCAACTGGCTTGATGTGGAGTGGGACAGGGGCTGATTGCACATAGTGCCCCCCCTTCCCCACCATCTGTGCCGCCACCTCTGGTTGCCTCAGTCTCTCCCCACATCTTCAAATCCCTCCATCTCTCTGAAGTGTATACATCGCTATCTCACGTAGTCTCTCTGTGTGTCTGTCTGTCTGTCCCTATTCTCTAGTTTCTCTCTGGTTGTCAGTCACTTTGCCTCTCTCGTCTCTGTCTCTGGCTCTCACTGTCTGGGCCTCTGCAGCCTCTCTGGGCTCTGAACCGTTCCCCTGTGGTTCTCACAGCCCTCTAGGCTGCACTGTCTGTCTTTCCATCCGTCCCACGTTCTCTGTTCTCTTTCTCATCCTTCTCCCCTCTCCATTTCTGTAGGCAGTTTCCACACTCCTCCTGCAACTGCCCCATCCCATTTTCCTCTTCCTTCACTACCTGTCCCCTCCCCCACCCAGGGCGCTGACAGAGATGACAGGAAGCAGGCGCTGGCTTTGAGCAGGAGGGGGAGGGGACCTCCTCGAACACCAGCTGCTGAACCCCCCCAGCCCGGCACCTGCAGGCCTGCCTGGCGCCTGGAGACTCCGCCCAAGCCAGGCAGGGGAGGAGGGACCTGGATGAGACCAGATCCCTGGTCACGGTCGGGAAATGCGGGCCTTGGGGGTTGGTAGAGGTGCGGGTCTGGAGGAAATCAGGTCCTGGGGGAAGGGCAGTGGCTCTCTGTCGCTGGAGCAGACCCCAGCCCACATTTTTCTGTGTATGACAGTGGTGGAGGAAGGTGTCATTCTTGGGGAGACCTTTTGGTTGTGCTGCCCCAGGGTCTAGGGGAGCTCTGGCCCTTGTCCTTGATGGGAAGAGAAGATGGGAAGCCCTCAAAGACTCAAAGACACAGGGAAGACGTACCCATGACAGGCAAAACATTCAGAGCCCCACAATGAGCAAGGGCTGGTCAGCCAGGCTGGGGCTCCCGCACCCCAGCCCACAGGTTTCCCCCTCCCTCAGGGCTGCTCCACACGGCCCAGCTGCAGTCCACCCTCCCAGCCCTGTTTGTCATCAGTCCGAGCCATCTCACCCCTCCCCCTCTCCCTTCTTTCTCTGTGCCAAGCACTCCGCAGAGTCTCTGGGGCCTGCGGGTGGTGGTGGAGGGGAGAGAGCAGCACCTCCAGGTTCCCCTCTCTCTGAGGGCACCTCTGCCTGGCTGTGTGATGGTGCTGTCTCTTCCCCATGACACTTCCTCTTACTCAAGAGCTCCTTACCACTGTCCCAGAAGCCTGCCCCCACTCCCCACCTTCCACTGGCCTCTCTCTCAGGTATTGTGGGGAGGGGGGCGGAAGACACCTGGAGTCACAGGGCAGAGATTCAGCTAGGGGCTCAGGCTGACCGGAAGCCACATGTGGAGCCCATCAATTCTGGGCTCTCCAAGCAGGAGGTGGGGGTGCGGGCCATCTCTGCCCTCCCACCCCTCCCTCAGACTTTAGCACTTTGGATAACTGGAAAGGGGAGATGGTGTGTTCCAGGCTTGGGTTGGAGCTAATGATCCAGGGCCACGGAGATCCACCCCCCCCTCCCAGCTGACTGAAACGCGGATGGGCAGCTTCGGGGAAGTCGTGCACTGCTGGGCCTGGTCAGGCAAGGAGTACCTTCCCTATGCTTGTCCATTTGAGTCTGTCAGCCATATTCCCAGGTCAGGGGCCCCAAGAAATTGCTAGGCGCTCAGTAACTAGGATATGCGGGCTGAGTTGGCTCTGGCGGGAGGCTAGAGCAACCTCTCACAAATGGGTTTTGCAAATGCAAAACTGAGGCGAGGCTGGGAAATGACTTGCCCACGGCCGCCGAAGTCTCTGGGACGGAGCCGGACTAGAACCTGGACTTCCACACCACAGCCCCCTCCGCTGTCTAGTGGAACCTGCTGGCCCAGATTACCCAGAATCGGCCCGGCAGCCGGGAGGCAGGGCCTGGCAGGCCGCGCGGGGCCGGATGGAAGCCGGATCTCCCCAGGGAGCGGCGCACCGGCCTCTGCAACCCGTCTGGCGGCGGCGGCGGCGGCGGCGACGGCGGCAGCAGGTGCCTGCGTGGCGATCCGGCTGGGCCCCGGGGCGGGTGCTGAGAGGCCGCCCCTGCCTCACGCGAGCCGAACGAACAAAACGCTCAGGTTCGGTTTGTGCGAGGGGCTCGTCGCGGGGCGGGAGCGGAGGGCCCGGGGCCGGGCCGTGGCCCTCTGATCGCCTGGTCCTCGTCTTCCCCGAGCGCAGTGCCGCCGGCGCTCCGCTAGCCGCCGCCCTCACCTGCGCGCATCCGCTGTTGACACGTCGGCGGCCGCCGCGGCCACCACAGGTGCGCGCCCGGCCCGGCCCTCCCTCCCGTCCCCCTGCACCCGCTTCCCTGCCCCCTCCGCCCGGCCCGGCCCTGCTGGGCTGCGTCCCGGGTCCCCGCCCCGGAGCTGGTGCCTAGGCCGGGGCTCGGCGCGCTCTTATACGGCCCGCCAGCCCCCGCCCCTAGACGCACGCACACATACACTCACACCTGTCCTGGCGCCCGTTTGCTCAGGGCAAATATTGACTCAGAGGGGGCGGAGCTCCCCCCCCCCCCCGTCGCTCGGGGGCCCGAGCTTCTCCGAGGCCTTGGCGGGGGAGAGGGTGTGAGGGGGTGCCAGAGACCTGGGCGCCTCTGGAACAACACCAGATGTCACTTTTCCACCCACCTGCCTCTGGCGGGGGGAGGAGCCGGGCAGCGGAGGGCCGAGGCTGCCGGGCGGGGGCCGGGGGTAGCGAGGAGGTGCGTCCCCCAGGGAAGGGGGACAGCCCTTGGTCTGTGATTGGTTTCATCACGGGAGTCGCTTAGTAGGGGTAGTGGCCTGCCGTCTGGAGGTGGCCTCGACACGCACCCCAGCGCCTAGTTCCTGGCCCTCCGGGACGTGCCTGGGTTTCCCTCCCATCCCGAGCGCTCAGCTGAAAGAGCCGGGAGCCCAAAGGGCTGGCGCGGGGGCTGCCGAGCCTCGGGGCTGGCGGGAGAAGTAGGGGTGGCCGCCCCGCCTTGCAGCCACCTGCCGCGCTGACCAGCCTGGCGCCCAGTTCGTGGGCCGCCGGTTCACTCTGGGGCCAAGGCCAATCAAGCCCTGGCCCGAGCGCCCTCCACCGGCCGGTCGGGGCCCCGCGCCCGGCCGCTAGCGGCGAGACCTCTCGACCCGCGCGAGGTCGTTGCGGGCCATCCTGGCTGTCTCCATCATCTATCCCGCTCAGAGCGCGCGCACGAGTTCCCTCCGCGTAGGGGAAATAAAGTCAAAGGCGGTATCGAAAAAAGGCCAGATGCTTTACTGAGTGGGCTGGTGACTGGGAGGGGTCGGCGGGGCTAGGGCGGCAGGTCCAAGAGGCTGGTCCTCCGCGGCCGCGAAGAGTCGATGGGGTGCTGAGTGGCCGGGCGGAGCGCCTGCACCGGCTGCTGCAGCACCGGGAGTGTCCTCCGCAGAGGGTCCTGGGTCACTGTCCTGGAGGAGAGGAGTCACCAGGCAGGGCTCGGGACCGGGCCGCGGACGGATCCTGCCCTCCCTGCCGCCCGAGCTGCGCCTGGCGCGGGCGCCCCCACCTGGGCATGCTGAGCGGCGGCAGGGTGATGACGCGCGGCCGCGAGGTGAGCACCACCTCCCCGAGGCTCGCTTCCACCAGGATGTTCTGGATCATGTTTTCCAGCAGCGCCTCCTGCAGGTTAGCGAAGGCCGGTAGCCTGCGGGCGGAGGGGCGCAGGGCACCAGCTTCAGTCCCGCCACCGTCCACGCCCATCTCCTTGCCTCATCTGCGCAGTACAGCGCGCCCTGGGCTTTACTTGGATTCTCTCACCATTCTCGCCCCAGCCATTACGGAGCGTCTGTGTCTCAACTTTACATACTCCAAGTGTGGCTAAGAGAGGCCAAGAGGCAAGTTGCTGGTAGAAGTGGTGGGACTGGAATCCGGGCGATCCTGCTCCCGGGGCCAGGTTAAGGAAAGGCAATGAGCCATGTGAGGGTGCAAAAGGGACTGAGTGGGAATCCGGACAAGGAGAAAAAGCATCCACAGAGCAGGTCTGGGGGAAGATGGGACAAGACACCATACTCCTCTCCTGGCTGTGGAAACCCATTTAACAGATGCTAACCACTCTGCTGGCAGTGGTTTGCTGGCAAAAGGTTAACAACCAGCTCTTTGAGAAAAAAATTTAAAAACATATCACAAAACCTAAAAGCTCAGGCTTCCCGTTCTGTAATATTCTCACCAAGGCCGTGAGCCCAACCTGGTTCCACTGAACACTGAGTTGGGAAGAGATGCTTACCCACTGCATCCTGGGTCATCGTGCACACAGCCCTCTCCCAACCCTCACTGGGCCCTGCTGCTCACCGACTGATGGCCTCTTTCTCATCCCGCTCCCGCTCCTCTTTCATCATGATCTTCAGCTGCTGCCGCCACTGCAGCAACTCTTGGGACCTGGTCTGCCGCACAGGCTCCGTTCCCATCCAGGCCAGGTCATCTTTCTTTTCCTCCATCTCCTCCTCCTGCATCTCCTCCTTGCCCATCTCCTCTTTCTCCTCCATCTCCTCCTCCTTTTCTTCCTCCTCCTCTTCTTCCTCCTCCTCTTCTTCCTCTTCCTCTTCCTCTGGCTCCTCCTCGACCCCAGACTCCCTCTTCCTCAACCTTGGTTGAAACTCCTCCTGCTCCTTGCCTTTCCCTTCCTCCCAGCTTTTGGAAGGTGGAGATAGGACTGGCACTAAGTGCAGGCTGCTCTTCCTGGTGATGAACTTGGCTGACTTCTCATTCCAGAACTGGCAGAAGTAAGGCACCTGTTCTACCAGACTTTGATCCACAGCCTCGTGGAACTTCTCATCCTCCAGTAGACCTCTGGGTGGCAAGGAAGAGAAAGTCCTTCTTGAGGGGTCTCAAAGCACCCTTTCGGACCCTGGATGCAGGGTTCTCCAAGGAGCAGTTCCTGTCTACTGTGTCCACAAGCAAGTACTAGGTGAAGAAGGGGAGCCTTTGGTTGCCCCTCCCACCCTTCTTCATCTTTATGTCCCATGGCTTCCTGGAGGTGAACATTATATGGTGGAGGAGGAGCCAGAAGGTCAGAGTTACACAGTGAACTCTGAACCTCATCTACCAGTCATGGAAGGGGCAGACAGAATTTAGGACCAACTCTGGGGATACTGCTAGCCAGCTCCAGTAGAGCTGTACCATCCAGGGGGTCTGGGGCCACCAGTGATGGGATCTTCTGAGAAAGATGTGTGTGTGTGTGTGTGTGTGTGTGTGTTTGTGTTTCAGAAAAAGAAGGGCTGGGACTTCAGGGTCTGTGGATAAACCCAGAATTAGCTGGATGAGCTGGAGAGATGGGAGGGTTAGGGTGAGGGTCCAGGAGGTGGGTGGTTACCTGATGATGGTGGTGAGACAGTCAGTCAGGAGCAGCTTCTCCTGCTTGGAGACAGGGGGCCGATTGTAGGTGGAATCTTCCTCGGAAATCTCTGGCACCTGCCCAGAGGGCTTCTTCTTTGGCAGTTCCCTGGGACAGGCCATGACATTTTGAGTGGCCTGGGCAAGCCACCATGCTGAGGTTGGGGGCACAAGCAATGGTAGTGGCTGCCCGGGCTTGAGGACATAGGTGACTTTGGGACAATCCCCAGCCTTAACCCAACTGTGATTCTACTGCAGGAGGAACCATGCCCAATGCTCAGAGGAAGTGCAGGACCTACAGAGGCTCCAAGTTGGAAAGGAAAGGAATGAAGGGACACCTAAGTGGGTTCCCCAGAGGACTCTGGCTGCTTTACCCTACTTCTTGTGAGGGCCTAAGCAGTAATGAAGCGTCTTGAGCCCACAGTTCCCGATGAGTCCCACTGCCTCTGCACTTGCCCCAACCTTTCAACAAAGGCTACGTCTGAGCTGCTCCAGTTCTAGAGCAGGGGAGGGGCCGGGAGAGTGGAGGAAGGAGACTCCTGCTTCCCTAAGAGTTCACCGGTTCAAGAAGTAGCAGGGAAACTCTGAGAAGAAGTTGGCCAGGAAGTAGTCGGTGGCATGGGCACGGGCAGTGAGGCCCAGGCAGAGCATGCCTGGTGGGGGCGGCTCAGGGCATGGCCAGGATGTCTCCTCCTTTGGGACCTGCAGGTTCCAGCTGGCAGGTTGGTTGAAACGCTGCTGGATCTTGATGGGTGGCAGCGTCTTTGGGAAGGAGGAGGCAGGGATGACAAGGGTTTCAAGGCTGCATTCCCATCACCGATCAGTTATTTGGCCTACCCTCCAACCAGGCCTCTTGAGCCCCATGGGGGTTTGGACCCACCCATTGATGCATGTGTCCTTCTCCTTTAGGAGGCTGAGTCAGGGTGGGAAGAATCCATGGGAGAGAGCAAGGACCCTCCCAAGTTATCCCAAGGAGATGGGCCTGGGGCTTATGACCTCACCTTGTACTTCCTCACTGGTGCACAGGCGGTGCAGTACACCTGTCTCTGTAGAAGCAGATAGAACCCTGCTTAGGATGTCGAGAAGCCCCAAAGAGACTCCCCACTTCCTACCCCTCTTACTGACCCATGGAAGGCCTGAAGTCAATGCCAGGCCTTTCTGTGTCCTCTTGGTCCTACACAACTCTTAGTCACACCCTACTCCAGAACCTTCCCTAGGGACATGTTGGGCTGGAGAGCAATCCTTGCCTGAGGGCAAGGAAAATCTGGTTACCCAAAACAAGGAAGACATGGAGATACCACCAAACCCTTGCAGGCTGCCCTAAGAGTGCTGGTTCTTGTGCCTCGTGCACTATGGTTTGGTGAGATAAGGAAACATCTTCCCTTATTAAGACTTAATACAGAAATCCTTTCTTCCATGACCCCAAGAAGCTTCAAAGGGGAGCAGTGTCTCCCTGGGGGTTCAGTCTAGTGGGCGCAGAAGTGGTCAGGGTGAAGAAATTCAGGGAAGAACCAAGATAGAAGTTTGTCTTGTGTTTATTATATCTCTTCCCTCCACCCCCCAACAAATACTAACAGCCTGTGTTTAGTGAGAACTTCCTGAGTGCCAGGCAGTTTTATGCACATTACATGTATTAACTCATTTAATCCTTACAACAAAGCAGGTCATATTCTACTTGCACTTCAAATATATTTTTAACCTTTTTAACATGGAAAATTTCAAACATGCACAGAAGTGGAGTGCATACTGCAAAGAATCCTCCACTAGCCATCATCCAGCTTCAACAATTAGCAAACTCATGGCCATGGCCAATGTTTCCTCTACACCCCACCTCTGGGTTATCTTGAAGCCATTCCCAGATGCCATATTACCCCCATTTTACAGTTGAGGGAACTGAGAGGTGAAATGACTTGGCCAAGATCACAGAGCTAGAAATTGTCAAAGTCATGATTCAAAACGAGATGCTCTGTTTCCAGAGCCTGCACTCCAAACCACTATGCCACACTCTTCTATCAGAAGGTGAGCTCTGTCTTATTTCCCCGGAGACCCTAGTACCTAGCACATAATGTTGTTGTTGTTATGTGCCGTCGAGTCGGCCCCGACTCATAGCGACCCCTCCTTGGGTTTCCGAGGCAGTATCACTATGGAAGTAGGATTGCCCAACCTTCCTTCCGAGGAGTGGCTGGTGGGTTTGAACCGCCAGCCTTCTGGTTAGCAGTCAAGTGCCTTAGCCACTATGCTACCAGAGCTCCTAATAGGCACTATTAAATACTGGTTACATGAAGGAAGGGATGGTCAACCAGCCTTCTATACCCAGAGAGTATCATGGCATAGCTGTGAAGATATTATGTTTAGCCTAATGAATTTAATCCAGTCTTTGCATGCAAAACCACTTTGGATCATACCTCCATCTCCTCTGATATGGCTAGTTAGAAAGATCAGTGGTGTCCTAGGACCCCTCATCCCTCCTCACCTTCACTTTCCTATCTGTGATGGTGAACTCCACTTCCTGCCGTGCCTTCTCTTCCTTCCACTCCTGTAGTTCCTTATGGTACCTCCTCAGGAGTTGCTGCCGGTACACCTGTGTCCCAGGGCAAGGAGAGAGAAGACCAGGGTCTGGAGGGTCTGAAGTGCAGTTTGCCATGGGCTTGTACTGTGGGCCCCCCACTCTTTCATTGGCTGGCTCCTACCTCTCTGGAGGTCTGGGGATCTCAGAACCCACCATACCCTCCAGTATAGGAAGCATAGGACATCCCATCTTTTCTCTGGGATGGATCCTTACCTTGCATACCAGGTCTACACTGTAGAAGCTGGCATGCACCGAAGCCTTCAGGGTCACTACAATTGGTGCTGTCTCTCCAGGAGACACCTCTCCCACCTTGGGACTCACAGACACCTGTTGATTTGGGGAAAGGTTCTCTGGAGTTTCATAGGGATGGGGTGGGATGAAATGGGTGGGATGGGGTGGGATGGAATGAGACAAGATGGGGTAGGATAGGGTGGGGTGAAGTGGGATGAGTCTTGGGCTCTGCTGAAGACTCTGATTTTGTGGGCACAGAGGATGCTCACCTCTCCAAAGTCTAGAGGCTTCAGCTGCCAGGAAAAGACAATTGTCTCATTCTTGGAGGTATTGTTGAGGAAGAGCAAGCGGCTGCACTTGCTCTGCACAGGGATGTTTCCCAGGGAGATATGAGAGTGGGACAGGAAGACCGTCTGTGTGAGACAACACAACAGCAGCTTTGGGAGGGGAAGAACTACTAACCATTGCAACCGCTACAGTTCCTGGGTCTTTCAACAGGCCGGGAACCATGTTAAGTAGTTTACTATGTTAAGTGCTCTCTGGGGATTTGATCTTCACAATGGCCCTATGATGTAACCAAGACCAAACCAAACTCACTGCTGTGGAGTCAGACCCAACTCACAGTGAGCCCTCCCTGGGTTTCTGAGGTGGTATCACTACAGAAGTAGACTGCCTAACCTTCCTTCCGAGGAGTGGCTGGTGGGTTTGAACCTCCAGCCTTCTGGTTAGCAGCCAATGCCTTAGGCTTTACACCACCAGACTCCCTCCCCTATTATGTAGATGCTACTATTACCCCATTTCACAGATGTGCCACTGAGGTTCAGGGAGCATAAGTAATTTTCCAAAGATCTCTCACAGGTACAATTGGTATAAACTCAGACAGTCTCACTCTAGAGTCTATGCTTTTAACCATTAAAATAGGCTTGGATGGATTGAGAGAATCTGAGTTAGTTGAGAGAAGACAATCAGTGGGATCAATGGGCAGATGAATGAATGCGTAGACAGGTGGATGGATGAAAGGCTCAGACCTCTCAACAGTGAGGAGTGTGTGAATAAAAGGTAGTGTTATTGACCCAAGATGTCCTTCAGCAAAATCCATCCAGGTCCAAGGGAGGGACTGTTAGGTGTGAAGATAATGCCCTAGAGCTCTGGAATGAGAAAGCTCCTTTCTATCCCTTCTGATAGCCCCATCCCAATGCCCACAGCAGGGGGTGGAATGGAGACCCTGCAACAGGTAGAATGGCAGAAGTAGGAACATTTGTGGGCACTAGGTGGCAGGGTAAGCCTCTCCTGGAGCTGGTGCTGCCTCCTAACTCTGGAAAAGGCTGGTTCCAGGCCTCACCTCTGCATCCCTCCCTCCTCAGCTCCACCTTCCAGCCTCCCCAGCCCTCTGTCTGCACTGCCCACTTTGGGCCCTCACGCTCTCCTCCAAGGCCTCAGGCCTTTCCAGCTCCCTTTTCCCTACCTGTCCAGGAGCCATCAGCCTAAACTGTGTGGAGCTATTGTCCAACGAGGAGATGCTGTGGAATGGGGCTGTGTCCCCCATGACATGGGGGTCATAGCCCGCACCCTGGAAGTGGATGATGGCCAAGTTCCATCCCAGGATGTGTATGGGCACGTCCACCTGGGAAGTCAGCAGGGTGGGGGTGAGGGTTGGTCAGAGCAAGGCCTCCTGAGGGAGTCAACGCCCACTCCCTACATCATATTATTCTAGGCTGCTGCTTACTGTATAGGTCTTGGCCTCGATGGGTGAGAAGATCCACAAGACCTGAGCAGTTGTGCCCGGCTGGATCTCCCCTTGGGGGTTGAGGCAGCAGAAGATGGGGTGGTTGAAGTTTTGTTCTTGAATTTGTGACAGGATGTTGGTCTGGATCTCATATGTCACAGGCACTGAGCCCCCGTTGTACAGCTCATAAATCTACAAGGGGCAGGAATAGGGAACGCTCCACATTGGCTCAGGACTGTGATCTAAAGAGTCTGGGGTTCTGTGTCCATTGCAAGAGCACAGGCTGATCTCCATAATGTCACTCCTGAGAGCTCCCTTAAATCCCCCTGATTTCCCTCATGGCTTGATCACTCCGGAAGAATGTGAACCATTTTTGAAACTGTTTTCAGCCTGTGACATTTTAGGACTCTGTAATCCTATTTGTAAAGGGGCAGTTTATTGACTCCCAACTTGCCTCTATCAAGCTAGTGTTGGGATTTAGGGTAATGTCCGTGCACAAGCCATCTGGACTCTTCCTCATTTTCCAGGCTCCTGTTCTCATCACCTGTGCGGCTGCCACTTTCAATGGCTGCCATTAGAGGCAGTCCTGCTGAAAGGAAGCTAAGGGGGTGAAAACAAAGTCTGAAGTCCCCAAGAACTAAATTAAAAGGTTGGAAACCACAAAATGTCCTGGAAGAAACTGGAGATCTTCTAGTCCAGTCTCTCATTTTATAGATGAGACAACTGAAGTCACAGAGAACAAAGAGTTTATCAGGACTTAGGCCTGGGCCCACTTCTCATCTTTCTCAAAACTTACTCCAACGGACGTTATGCTGAGTGCAATAAATCAATCACAGAAGGACAATATTGTAAATAGTCAAGGAAAGGTTTATATATGGAAGGAAACTTTCTTTGTTGGTTACCAGGGATGGGACAGGAGGGGAGGGAAAATTCTTAGATAGGTTGGAATATATATATATATGTTGTTGTTAGGTGCCATCGAGTCGTCTCTGACTCATAGTGACCCTACGTACAGCAGAATGAAATATGGCCTGGTCCTGTGTCAGCCCTATGAGTGCTTTACCTGAACCCATCGTGTGTGTGTGTGTATGTGTGTGTATCCCAAAGATTATTAGTGGTTACCAGGGATAGGAGGGAGATGGAATGGGGAAACTTTTGTTTGCAGGGCATTGAGTTTATGCTAATGGTGGTGGAATATTTTGGGAAAGAATAGTAATAATGATGGCACAACATGAAAAATATCATCAATGTCTCTGAGCTGTAAATGTGGAAATTGTTATGTTGGTGAATGTCTTGTTATGTATGTTTTCACCACAAAGAAAGTAAAAAAGAAAAAAAAAAAAAAAACCTTCACTCCAACATATGCTGATTGTATTTCTCTGGCCTAGGCCACCTCTTTGAGCTCCAGACCTTGTATCCAACTCTACTTAACAGCCTCTCTTAGTATCTCACAGGAGCTCTGGTGGTGTGGTGCCTAAGGCACTTGACTACTAACCAGAAGGTTGGCACTTCAAACCCTCCAGCCACTCTGAGGAAGGAAGATGGAGCAATCCACTTCCATAAAGATTTACTGCCCCAGAAACCTAACGGGGGTCACTATGAGTCAGAATCAACTCAATGGCAGTGAGTTTGGTTTTGGTTTCTTAGTATCTCATTAAAAAAAAACAAACAAAAAAAACCCAAACTCACCATCATGGAGTCGGATCTGACTCACTAGGATCCCTCCTTGGGTTCCTGAAGTGGTATCACTATGGAAGTAGATTGCCCAACCTTCCTTCTGAGTAGTGGCTGGTGGGTTTGAACCACCAGCCTTCTAGTTGGCAGTCAAATGCCTTAGGCACTATGCCACCAGAGTTCCTTAAAAAACCAAAACCAAACTCACTACAGTTGAGTTGGATCCGACTCATAGCAACCCCTCCTTGTGTTTCCAAGGTGGTATCACTACAGAAGATTGCCTAACCTCCTTTCTGAGGAGCAGCTGGTGGGTTTGAACTGCCAGCCTTCTGGTTAGCAGTCAAATGCCTTAGGAACTACGCCACCAGAGCTGCCCCAGAGCTCCTTAGGCATCAGAGCTCCTTGTTGTTGTTATTTGCCATTGAGTCGGACCTGGCTCATAGTGACCCCTCCTTGGGTTTCTGAGGCAGTATCACTATGGAAGTAGATTGCCCAACCTTCCTTCAGAGGAGTGGCTGGTGGGTTTGAGACGCCAGCCTTCTGGTTAGTAGTCAAGTAGCTTAGGCACTATGCTACCAGAGCTCCTCAGAGCTCCTTAGCCATCACAATCTTGGCCAAAACCAAACTATTCCCTCTGAAACCCATTCCTCCCGGTTTTCTCCTCTCAGGAAATGGCATCACATATCCTGAGTAGCTCAAACTAGAAATCCAGTGTGTCCGATATGCCCGCTCTCTTTTTCTTCCCATATTCAATCCCTAGAAAGTCCCAATGATCCTGCCACCAAGATGAATACTAAATCTGTTCGTGTTTCTGTCTCCACTGCCCTCTCACAGGTCCAGACCATCATATAATCTTTCATCATCTCACGAATGAAAGAGGAAGATTGGCCACCACTGTGAAGCTTGAGTGGAGGCACAACTGGGTCTCTTGACTTGGGTCTGGGATACTTTCCATTGTCTACACTCAGGGCCACAGGGAAGTGGTTAGGCCTCATTGGAAAGCTTGCTGGGGCCACAGGAGGCTTTGCCTTCCTTTTCTAGGGCCTGGGGTGCCCATCCCCAGAAGGGGCTGCTGGGAAGCCAGGGTAGAGAGTGGTGTAGGGAAGTGAACATAGTTCAGGGCTAGGGCCCCCACTCCCCTCAGGAGAAGAAAACCCATTTCTCTCCCTCTAGGCTGAATGGCCAGAGGCCCTGCCCCAAAACACAGGGCCTTCTAAGTGGGTAGAAATTTCACAGCTTTGAAATATTTAGGGAAAGTCTATATTCCTCTCTTAGAGATTTCCAATATATATTTTCAGAGCAGGGGAACCTGTTTCCCCCCAGTTAATAAAGAAATAAAGTCCAATGGCTTCCCTAGAAGTTCCATTCTGGCTCTTCTCACTCTAGAAAGACATTCTTCTCGGAGCAGTGCTTTTCAGTCTGTGGCTGAGACCTATTAGTGACTGGGTCATAGGGTCAGTTTCGTGGGTCATGTCCGGCATTTAAAAAATGGGACGATTTAAAATAAAGAAGAGAAAATATCAGAGTAATTTGCAGGCAGTACCTTAAGTATAAGGGTCCCAGGTGACACAAATGGTTTGAGCTCACTGTTAACCTAAAGCAGTTCAAACCCACCCAGTGGTACCATGGAAGCAAAGGCCTGGGGATGTGGCTCTGTTAAGATCACAGCCTAGAAAACTCTCGGGAACTCTTCCACTCAAACTCATGGGGTCGCCCTGAGTTGGGATGGACTTGATGGCAGCTAACACCAACAGACGAAGTACTTACCTGTGGTGCTTTTGCTTTGGTTGTATGCATATTTATATTCTGGGTCACAATCTAAAATGTATTAGTGTGGTTCATAGTTAGAGAAGCTTGGAGAATGCTGCTCTCGAGGAAAGAATCCCCTGCTTTTGCATGGAAACAAGGCCTGGCAGGGGGGATCAGCACTGGGCACCAGGGACTAAGGTCTCTTTCCTTGGCTGTGCTCCAGCTGCTCAGTCTCAAGTTTTGAGCCGCTAACCCCACCTCTTAAGAGTGGAGGATCCTAGAGGGCAGGGTTTCTGCCACCTTGTCAAGGGCTGAGCCAGATACGCAGACATCAATGTGCAGGCTCTTTGGTGACCAGGAGGATGAAGACCACTGACCTGCCGTGGGGGCAGTGTGTCGCCGATGGGGACAGGGACAAACTGGTGGCTGGAGGAGGTGAAGTGCACATACTTCTGCCCCAGCTCCACTGTCACGCCTATGAAATTGAGCTGGAAACACAAAGTCCCATGACTAGAATCCTGACCTAGAAGGAAGTGATGTTCCCCATAGAAGAGGCCTGGACCCCAGCTCCCCAGGGGGCCCCTTTCCCTGATCCCCTGCTGCTATCCAGAGGGCCCCCTCTCCTCCAGCCTGAGACCCAGAACAGGACAAGGTGCTGGGGTCTTACCAGGATCTCCCGGCCATGGGACACCTTGAAGAGCACTGGGAGGCGGTCAGTGCCAACGAATAGGTGGCTGGAAGGGAGGACACAGTCCAGGGGTAAGTTCTGAAGCCTGGGACAAGTAGGGGACACATGGAGATGGCACACCTGTGGCTTTGAGCAGGCTAGCCCCTAGGAACATGTGGAGAACCTGAGCTGGGACCTGCCGGCGGTGGGGTGGGGGGAGGCATTAAATTAGGTCTGGAGTCTTCCCTGCAGTGGAAAGGTGGGGTCTGCCCAGGCTGGTGGCCACTCAGGGGACACTGGGATCCCACAGTCCTGCAGGAGTTAGGGGGAAGAGGGTCTCCAGGACTGGAGGTGCACCTGTATTTTAATTCCACCATCTGCTGCTGCCCAGGACTCAGGCTCCCGGTCTTAGGGCTGATGGAGAAAAGGCAATTGTCTTGTGCACGCATTTGGTGCAGCTCAGTGCTGTTAAACTCTGCTTGCTCTGCCCACAGCTCCAGGTGGATCTGCTGGTCACTTGGAAAGAGGAAGGCCCTGGGAGATGGGTGGGGAGCAAGGGAATGAAATCACACGAAGGATCTGTCAGTCAGAACAGTGAGCACAGCTCTGAGCCCTGAACCCTGGGCGGGAGGCCTCCTCCAGCCTCCCCTCCTCTACTCCCCCAATGACAAGCTTCCTATACACAGCTGAGAGATTGTGGCTTTTGTAGACTCTCGTTTCATTTTGGTCCCCAAACCTGTGAACAGAAGCAGGGCCACAGCTACGGGTGAGAAATGAAGGTTGAAGCTCTCACAGTGGGTATAAGGGGTTAAGAGGGTGACTCACATGTGTGGATCATTCTGAGCTGGCCACTAAACCTTGAAGGTTTTCTGCACTGAAGCTCTTAGGAAAGGGTCAGCTGAGGCTCCAAGAAATGCCAGCAGCCCCAACTAGGGGGTCCTTGAGAGGGAGGGTGTCCAGGCCAGCTTGGGCCCAGGGGTAAAGAATGGATGCTCCAGCAGGCCGCCACTGTCAAACTAGAAGCAGGGCTGTGCATCATTGCTAGCTGCTGCCAAGTCAGCCTGACTCATAATGACCCCGCGTGTAATGGAACAAAATGCTGTCCAGGCCTGCGCCCCTGCCCCATGACTGTCTGCAGATCAGACTGTTGTGGTCCACAGAGTTTTCAGTGGCTGATTTTCAGAAGTAGATCACCAGGCCTTTCTTCCTAGGCCGTCTCAGTCTGGAAGCTCCACTGAAGCCTGTTCAGCATCACAGCAATGTACCACTGTGGTACTCATGTTTGTGTGTCAACTTGGCTGGGCCTGGCTGAGTGGCTGGGCAGCTGGTGGGAGTTATTCCCCATGATGGGACTGGCAATCAGCTCCATGGTGGGATCTACCACAAGCAGCTGAATAGCTGCCTTTGGGATGTGGTCTGCTTCCTGTATATAAGGAGAAGCCTTGGGAATGGTCTCTAGCCTATGGCTTGGATCCTGCATGTAGCTGTGTTGTTCCTCAGCAGCCTGCTATGCTCTGCCCACCTTGGGACTTACAATGGCCTGCTGTGTGGTTTGGTAACATCGGGACTGTGCCTTTTTACTTGTCAACCTTGGGGCTTCTCAGCCTCAGCAGCCAGTAGCTGTCTGACTGAAGAAACACCTTGAGCTCCAGTGGGCCGGGAGCAGGAGGCAGAGCTAGACCCCAAGGTTGAGGGGCTTTCACCCAGCTCCTAGAGCTTGGCACTTTGAACCTGGACTTAAAGCTTCTAAATTGTAACGAACTCCTGTTTGTTAAGGCCATCCCATTTGTGGTATATTCCTGTCAGAGCGGCACTATGGGACCAGAACAACCACTGACATGAGACAGGAATCAAAAGTCTGGTCTCCCGGGTGCAAGGCGAGAACCCTACCACTGAATCACCACCGCCTCATTGTGCACAATGAACGTCCCTGCGATAGCTGACAAAACGAGGAACAAAGGGGCCCAAGGCCATAATCTGGAAAGGAGAACCCCTTCACTCTTGGAGAGATGGCCCAGAACTGGCCCCGGTAGCGAATTGGGCAGGAATAAGAACAAGCAGCATCCAGAAGAGAAGTGAAAACAGCCAGGAACCCTCTGCAAAGCCGCAACAGGAACCAGGGAAATGCAAATTAAAACTCCTGCGTGGAACCAATCTCACAGTTTCTCGCCTCCAAAACAAGAAACATGTTTCTACCCAGTGCTGGTGACTTTAGAGAGGACAGATGCCTTCACACACAGCTAGGGAGAGAGGGAACTGCTGTGACCTTTTGAATGGAATTTTGGCAGCATCAGTTACAATCAAAGATGCATGTGCACTTTGACTCAGAAACCCTACTTTGGGGAACTAACCTGCAGGGATAACAGAACATGTGTGTTTGTGCCCATACACATACAAAGATGGTTTTTACAACCCTCTTGATAGTGGCAAAAACAAAAAAACAAAACAAAACAAAAACTGCTGTTGTTATGTGCCATCAAGTCAGAGGCGACTCATAGCGACCCCTCCTTGGGTTTCCGAGGTGGTATCACTACAGAAGTAGATTGCCCAACCTTCCTTCTGAGGAGTAGCTGGTGGGTTTGAACTGCCAGCCTTCTGACAAATAATGTCTCCCAGTTAAGCAGTAGGTTACTAACTTAAGGTCCATCCATACCATAGACCATTGTTAAGTACGGTTGAGCTGATTCCAACTCATTGAGACCCCATGTGACAGAGCAGACCCCCTCCATAGGGTTTCCTAGTGTGTAATCTCTATGGGAGTGGAGGGCCAGATCTTTCCTATGGAGCCACTGGGTGGGTTCAGACCCCCAACTCTTCAGTTAGCAGATGAGTGCTCAACTCCAGGGCTCCTTTGTATTTTGACTATGATGCAGCTATTAAAAGAGAATGAATTAGGTGGAAACAATTCAAATGTCCATCAACAGACATTTGGGTAAACAAAATGTGATATATACATAAAGACTAAAGGCACTACTGTCATGTGGATTTCAACTCATAGTGACCCTACAGGACAGGGCAGAACTGCTCCATAGGTTTCCAAGGCTGTAAATCCTTATGGAAGCAGACTGCCTCATCTTTCTCCCATGGAGTGACTGGTAGGTTCTAACTGCCAACTTTGCAGTTAGCGCCCGAGTGCTTTACACAGCACCACCAGGACTCCTTTAATTATTCAGCCATAAAGAGAAATGAAATCCCGATAACATGCTACAATATGGATGAACCTTGAAAACATTATGCTGAAGGACGTGAGACACAAAAGGACAAATACTGCATGATCTCATTTATGTGAGATGTCTAGAATGGGCTAATGCGTAGAGACCAAAGTTTACTAGGGGTTACCAGGGGCAGGCGGTAGGCCCCTGCTCCCTACCAGCTGCCCTCCCTGTCCATGTCCACCTGTTCTGCACCCTTCTCCCTCCCCGTGTACTTGCAGGCCATCTGTCAGCGAGGGCCTCCTGCCTGGCCTCACTGCCCCTTCACCAGGCTAAGGCAGGTGAAGCAAGGTTGCAGCGTTCTCCGGAAGCTCTTCTGATGTGCCTGCCCCCAGCGCTTCCAGGACAGAGTGCAGTGGCCTTCCAAGAGAGACCTGAAGGACGGGGAGTGAGGCTCATCCTTTCTATTTTGAGGGCCCAGCCCAGAGCCTGCTATCAGTAAAGGTTTGTCCAGTGAATCAATGAGTGAACAAATGAACAAATGACATTAACTTAACTTTGTAAGGCCCTGTATCTCCCTGGGCTGAGCGAGGGAGAGGCTTTGGAAGGAGGAGGCCAGGAAGGAGTGGTGCAGCTGTGTGGCTCTCTATCTCCCCCTTCAGGTTCTCACTCTGTCCTACCTGCCAGCCCTCCAGGCCAAGTCCACCCTCCCCTTTTCTTGCTGGCCTTGGCAGGAACAAAACCCCTGGTCTGTTCTTTATGAGCTCAGCAGAGGCAGGCCAGAATTTTCAAAAATAGCCTTCTAAGAAATTGAAAGAAAACACAACACAAAAACTCTAGGAGAGGCCAGCCTTCTAAGGAAGACTCCCTGTGCTTGGAATCCTGGAAGGGGCACGGAACGCCTTCCTGCGCCTCAAACCAGCTCCTGATGGATCAGCCAGCTCAGTGGGCACACTGCCTGGGTCTCCTCCCACCTCAGTGTCCCGCGCCTGGTCCCTCTTCACAGAGCGAGTGGAGCTGCGTCCCACCAGAACACCCTACCCTGTTCCAGGACACGGGCCAACGGTGCTGTGCCGACCCCTCCCTGCCCCCAGCCCTGCAGGGCCTGGCTCCTGGCCCATTCAGAGAGCCCTGGAGAATGGCAGAGCCAGAGCTCAAGGCAGCACATGGGCTTTCCTTGCCCAGGCCAGCAGCTCTGCCAAGCTCCTCAGTTATTTAGGGCAGGAGCTCTTGTTACTCATAGTCCTGCCCTTCCCAGACAGGAGCCACCAAAGAAGCCAACTCCTCCATGTCCCTCCACCACAGAGAATAAGCCAGAGAGTAAGGGGGCTACCATTGGACACCTGAGGATCCAGCCCCTGCTCCACCTTCATGTCTACACACTCCAAGACTCTCCTCAGGCAGGACGGTTTCTGAGATGACAGAGATGCCCCCACCTCCCCCACCACCTGCCATGCCCAGGCAGGACTCTTGGCTCCCTCTCCCCAGTCTGACTCAGATGAGGACACTTCTTTTCCACTTCTGTTGGGTCAAGAGAAATTGGAAGTCACAAAAAGGAAGTTTACGAGGAAATCAAGGTGCATAGTGAAGGCAGGAGGAAGGACAAGAAAATGTCCTGGCATTGAGCAGCATGGTTGCTGGGCACAGGTTCTGTGCCCTGGTGGGAGGAATGTCAGGCACAGGCAGGCCAGCTGATGGCTCAGGTTTCCAAGCTGGGCCCCATGGGACTAGAGAGGTGAAGCCTACTCAGGTAGACAGGGATCTGATTGGCCAGTACAGACCCATGAGGCTTTGCTCTGCTGTGGCCCCTCAGTGGCAGGGTGCACTGAAGCTGACTCCAAGGCAGTAGATCCCTGCCCTATACCCCTCCCTAGACCCTCAAATCTCCCCCATTCCATGCCTGGTCCCCACTGAATCAAGGGCCCTGTCTATTGGACCCAGAGCCTAGCACAGCGCCTGGTAACAGGAGGAACTTGACACTTGCTTGCTGGCTAACTGGTATAGGGACTCTAAAGCAGAAAAACCAAACCCATTGCCACTGAGTTGATTCCAACTCATAATGACCTCATAGGATAGTGTAGAACTGCCCACAGTGTTTCCAAGGCTGCAAATCTTTATGGAAGCAGACTGCCACATTTTTCTCCCGCAGAGTGGCTGGTGGGTTTGAACCACTAACCTTTCAGTTAGTGAAATCTAACCACTGTGCAGAAGAGCAGGAGAAATGGGATTAAAAGACAGGAAGCCAGACAGAGGAACAGTCAGTCACAGGGACCCAGGTGGGGGGGATACGAGAGGTCTCCAACAGCAGGACAAACTTGTCTGTCGGTTTGTCCTACTGTGGTGACATGTAGACGTGAGTTTTGAGGCTGAGCCTCTGGTGTTTAAAACCCAGCGAGATGCACCTGGTGCATAGGTAACAGCCCAGTTTATAGACTGAGACAGATTAGGAAGAAGGAAGAGGCCGTCCACATCTGAAAGAATTGGCCAGGGAAAACCTTATGAATAGCAAAGAAACACTGTTTGGTACATTACCGTGCAACTTTAGGAATAGTCCATTTAGGCTAAAAGGCTCGCAAAATAGGACTGGGAAAGAGCTGCAACATCTGAGTAAACCCAGCCTTACTCATGGAAAAGAGAAAGCTTTCGAGACCTTCATTTGCTGATGTGGCACCACTCAAATTGAAGAGAAACAGCCACAGACATCCATTAATCATCGGAACATGGAATGTATGAAGTATGAATCTAGGAAAATTGGAAGTTGTCAAAAAGGAAATGGAACGCATAAAGATTGATATCCTTGGCATTAGTGAGCTGCAATGGACTGGTTTTGGCCATTTTGAATCAGACAACCATATGATCTACTATGCTGGGAATGACAGTTTGAAAAGGAATGACGTGGCATTCATCATCACAAAGGAGATTTCAAGATCTGTCCTGAAGTACAATGCTGTCAGTTCACAATAAATGGAGAAAAGATTGAGGTTGTCAAGGAATTCACGTTGCTTGGTTCTACAATTGATGCCAACGGAAGCAGCAGTCAGGACATTAGACGACGTGTAGCATTGGGGAAGTCAACTGCGAAGGAACTGTTTCAAGTGCTGAGGAGCAAGGATATCTCCTTGAGGACTAAGGTGCGCCTGACACAAGCCATGATATTTCTAATCACCTGGTATGCATGTGAGAGCTGGACAATGAATAAGGAAGACCGAAGAAGAGTTGATGCTTTTGAGTTGTGGTGCTGGGGGAGAATGCTGAAAGTACCGTGGACTGCTAAAAGAACTAACAGATCTGTCCTGGAGGAAGTGCAGCCAGAATGCTCCTTGGAAGCAAGAATGGCCAGACTTCGTCTCACCTATTTTGGTCATGTTGTAAGAAGAGACCATTCCCTGGAGAAGGATGTCATGCTTGGTAGGGTGGAGGGTCGACGAAAGAGGGGGAGGCCTTCAAGGAGATGGATTGATACGGTGGCTGCGATGATGGGCTCAAGTATAGCAGGGATTGTGGGGCTGGCGCGGGATCGGGTAGTATTTCGTTCTGCTGTGCATGGGGTCGCTATGAGTTGGAAATGACTCGACGGCACTTAACAACAACAACAACAACAACAACCACTGTGCCACCAGGGCTCCTTTAGGGGGGCTTGAACCAGGAGTAGTCCCTGAGTGGCACAAACCATTAACTTACTGAAAGGTTAAATGTTCAAGTCCACTGAGAGGAACCTTGGAAGAAAGGCCTAGCCATCTACTTCTGAACAATTAGTTATTAAAACCCTGTGGAGCACAGGTCTACCCTGACACACATGGGTCACCATGAGTCAGAAGCGACCTCATGGCAATTGGTTTCTGTGCATTAATAGCTTTGTGGCCTTGGCTGGGTCCTTGACCTTGCTGACCCTCAATCTTCCTGTCTATGAAAAGGTCAGGAGGGGAGCATGTTGTTAGAGGATTGGTGTGAAGGCTGGAGGAGAAAAGGCTTGTGAAGCACAGGGCCTGGCCTATTGCAGATACTCAATGAATCCTGCTCGTTCACTGAGTTACTAAGATGACTACACCCTTAGCAGGGTGATTTCAGCACTTCTGGGCATATGGACACAGCTCAGCCAGCAACAGGTCCCAGCTCCCGAGAAGACAGCTGGTATAGAGGGCTGCTGCTTGGTGCCCCAGCCCACCGTTGGCCTCCCCAGTCCCAGCAACGGGAGGCACCAGGCAGCCATGTCTACCATCAGCAAGAGAAGGCAGCTTTCCTCCCTCCCAGCCTCCGGGTCCCTGCCTCCCTGGCCCCACACACCCCCTTCAGGCAGCCATACCAGTCCAGGGGCACCACCCCACTGTTCTTCAGGGCCAGGAGCACCACAGAAGGTGGAGCCTCAAGCGGTGCAGCCCCAAAATTGAAGTCCAGCTTCAAAGGGGTGAAGATAGCGGGGCTGTGGCTCATGCTGTTTAAACAAAGCAGAGAAATGGGCTCAGAGGCAGCCAGTGAGCAGGAACGGGGACAGGCCGGGGCCTCCAGGCCTACTGGCTTGAGCACCCACCCATGCAAGTTGGGAACTGGAGAGTCCAGGACTTGGGGTGCTGGAGTAGACCAGCACAGCAGACCTCAAGCCAAGTCCTTCAGGGATGGGCATGAATTTGGAGGTCCCTCTTCTCCAAAGAGTTGGGGAGCCATGGCCTGGACAGGGTGGGGAGCTGGGAGTGCAGGCAGGAAGCAGGAAGAGCATCTTCAGATAAGCCCCACTCTCCCTACGCCCAGCTCACCTGTGCCGGGTGGGCACCTTGTAGGTGAGCTCCCCGGGGGTTGGGTCTCGCTCCAAGTAACTGTTGAGCATATCCAGGGAGAAGAGGTGCCACAGGCGATTCCGGGTGATGCCCTCAGTGCTGCCCGTGGCGCAGATATCCAGGATAGAGAGTAGGGGGTACACGGCCACCAGGGAGACCCGGCACAGCTTCTGCTTCTCGCCAGGCTTGTTATCTGGGGAGAGGATGTGAAGAGAGGAGTGGCTCGTCTCCCAGCCCCAGCAATGTCATACTGGCTGAGGGTGCTGGACCCCTGAGCAATCTGCTGGACTATATGAAGAAAAACATGGCATCAGGATTCGAGGAAGAATCACTAACAACCTGAGATACGCTAATGATACAACTTTGTTTGCTGAAAGTGAGGATGACTTGAAGCACTTACTGAGAAAGATTAAAGACTTCAGTCTGCAGTATGGATTACATCTCAACATAAAGAAAACAAAAATCCTCACAACTGGACCAATAAGCAGGGTCACAATAAACAGAGAAAAGATTGAGGTTGTCAAAGATTTCATATTACTTGGTCCCACAATCAACATCAATGGAAACAGTTTGTGCCTGCGTGTGCCTGAGCAGTGGAGGGCTTCTGGTGAAGGGTTAGGACCACCCTGCTAATGGTGGTGTGATCCTAGAGACCTCTCCAGCCTCCCTGGGCCTCAGCCTCCCCTCTGGAAGGTGGTGGTGTTATGAGGGTGAAGGGTCCACGTGGACACTGGAGCCCGAGTGTCTGCGATTGGATCCTGGCTCCAGTAATCTTAGCAAGTTGCTTCACCTCTCTGTGCCTCAGTTTCCTTTTCTGTGAAATGGCGGTAATAACAGTGCAGAGGCAACAGAAAGGAATGAAGTATTGGCACATGCCACAACATACACGAACCCTGAAAACATTTGTTGTTGTTGTTCAGTGACATCAAGTCACCTAACACTCAGTCAAGACATCAGATGACATATTGCACAGGGCAAACCTGTTTCAAAAGGCCTCTTTAAAGTGCTGAAGAGCAAAGATATCTCTTTGAAGACTAAGGTGCGCCTAACCCAAGCCATGGTGTATTTTCAATCACCTCATAGGCATGTGAGAGCTGGACAACGAACAAGGAAGACCAAAGAAGAGTTGATGTTTTTGAGTTGTGGTGTTGGCGAAGAATACTGAAAGTACCATGGACTGCCAATAGAAAAAAAAGAAGAAGAAGAAATCTGTCGTGGAAGAAGTCTGGCCAGAATGCTCCTTGGAAATGAGAATGGCCAGACTTCATCTCACCTCCTTTGGTCATATTGTCAGAAGGGATCATTCCCTGGAGAAGGGTATCATGCTTGGCCAAATGGAGGGTCAGTGAAAAAGGGGAAGGCCCTCAACAAGATGGATTGACACAGTGGCTGCAACGATGGGTCCAGGTTTGGCAAGGATTGTGAGGCTGGCACAGGACCAGGCAGTGTTTCATCAGTTGTACATGAGGTTGTTACGAGTTGGAGCTGCCTCGACGGCACCTAACAACAACAACAACAACAAATGTTTTCAGCGTTCATGTATGTTGTGGCATGTGCCAATACTTCATTCCTTTTTGTTGCCTGTGCACTGTTATTACTGTCATTTCACAGAAAAGGAAACTGAGGCACAGAGAGGTGAAACAACTCGCTAAGATTACTGGAGCCAGGATCCAATCGCAGACACTCGGGTTCCAGTGTCCACACCCTTCACCCTCATTCCATGCTGCACTGGCAGCGCAGGGCAGACTAGCGACAACCACGGGGCAGGCTCATAACACCACCACCTTCCAGAGGGGAGGCTGAGGCCCAGGGAGGCTGGAGATGCCTCTAAGATCACACCACCAATTAGCAGGGCAGTCCTAACCCTTCACCAGAAGCCCTCCACTGCTCAGGCACACACAAACACTCCCACACACAGACATGGTGTGCATGGCATGTGCACCACACAGCCACACCCTCACATGCTTCCACTCACTCTGCTCGTCTTAACCCTCAGCAGCCCCCCACTCCACCTCACACTGCACCCCTCTCCCTCCTGCTCTCCCTTGGCCCTGTCTCCCTCCACCAGGTGAGGTGGCCCAGGTACCTCTCTGGGAGAGGAGCACGTAGCTGACGGTCCAAGAGTACTGGGCCCGGTGCTTGGGGCAGGCAATCAGGACGATGCTGTCCTGGGACCGGGGTGGCATGCTCCCCTCTGTCTGTTCCAGCTGCAGATCTGCTCAGGGATGGCCCAGGGCAGGGGAGGGGCAGGGGCAGAGGAGGTCTTCACTGTAGGGGAGGCCTGGCCTCTCCTCCTACTCCTCCCGACACCTTCCCCTAGGCCAGCAGAGAACCGGCTGCAGACAGGTGCTGAGCCAGGCATGGGGAGCAGTCCTTCCTCCAGCTCAAGACAGAGGGACCACACTTCTTAGCATCACTGGACCCTGTTAAGCACTTTCCTCCACCTCATAGCCTGTAAAATAGGTGCCACTGGTGACACTCAGGAAGGAAAGTCACCTGCTTAGTGTGGCACATCTGAGAAGCAGAAGTCCCAGGTCTTCACCCCTGACCTGCCTGACCCCAAACTCTAGTCTTAACCTGTGTCCACCCTGCCTTTCCTGCCCCCAGCCGCAGCCCAGGTCCGAGTACCGAGGGGGTCACTGCTGGTGATCTCAGGGCTGTGCTGCTCCAGGAACAGGCGGTAATAAAGGGTACAGTTGCCGTTGTTCAGCAGCACGAGAAACCTGGACTGCTTGCTGTTCACCAGCACGCTCCCGAAGTCCAGCTCCTGTTCCTTCACCTGGGGGCCAGAGTCAGCCAGCCGGGGGTGGGAGGCTTCCCCAGCCCCACGGCCTGGTTCTCCCACCTCTGCCTCAGAGCAGGGCAGACACAGGTATCTGGTTCCCACCCCATGCCCTCTTATGCCCTGGCTCTGCCAGCACCACCCTCCTCCCCCGCTGCCAGGCCTCCTACTCACAGAGAGGCTGCTGGTGATGCCCATGCCCACCAGCCGTAGCATGTAGGGGGCGGTGGCAGGGGGCTTGGTATTCAGAGGCAGGCCAGCTTCCCAGACCCACATCCCCACTCGGAACAGGTACTTGGTCTCCTCCAAAGGGCTGAAGGTCCATGTCAAGATCTAGGGTCACAGAGGTACTCCTTGACTGGGGGTCTACTGGAAGTTTACCCCAGGCTCCTGGCCCTCTGCCCTCCCACTGCAGGGAACCAAGCCCCTTTCTGAGGGTTTACCCTGTGCCAGGCACTTTACCGTATATTATGCTGTCTCCCTAAGCCTCACAAACTGACATCCCCATGAGGTAAGTGCTATGGTTCTCATGCCTTGTTTTCTGATGAGCCTCTGGAGATTCAAAGAAGTGAAGTAACTTGCCCAAAGTCACACAGCAGGTGAGGGCTGGGGCTGGGACAGACTCTCCGAGGCTGACTCAGAGTCCGTGTCACTTCTCCTCTCCCCAGTGCCTGCTCCCGGGGCTCTTACAGACACCTTGTGCTAGTGGTTCTTGTTCCAAGTTTGGCCTCCCCAACTAGTCTATAAGGCTAGGGGCAGGGTCTGCTATCTTGAGACCCAACTCCTGCCCCTCTTCAGACTGCCATCGCAGCCTCTGGGATGGCACACAGCCACCACTTGGCTCCAAACCCAGCTCTCTGAGCCATCTGCCCCCCGACTTCACAGCTTAGAGGATGATGGATCAAGAATGGAAGTGCCCAGGGGCCCTGAGTCAGAAGCCCAGGGTCAAGTTCCAGCTCTGCACCTCCTACTTTAGGATCTTAGTACATGACTCTTTCTATCCAAGTCTCGGTTTTTCTTTGTAAAATGGGGGTGATGGTGATGGTAATAATAATGCCTATTCATAAGACTGGGGGGCAGTGACTGTGGACTGAATGGGAGGGTGCACATACTATGCCTGGTCCATGGTCCACGCCCATTCCTCCAGCCCTTGGCAGTGGGGGAGGCCACTCACAATGGTCTCATTAGGCAGGATGAGCCCCCGGGCAGGCTGCACAGCCAGCACCTTGAGGTGCTGCTCAGAGACCCTCCACTCAAACTCCAGGGGCAGACGCGAGGGGTTGTGCAAGGTGAAGGGGCTGGTGGAGGAGTAGCCGACCCAGGTGGGCTTGAAGAAGATGCTCTTACAGGCTTCCAGCTTCAGCTGCAGGGCTTCCTCACGGCTCTGCATGCTCACTTCCTGGGGCCAGAGGAAAGAGGGCTAGGGTCCTGACCTCACCCTGTAGCCCTGACACCCTCATGCACCCAGGAAGCCACAGTGGGCAGCAGAAGACCCTCCTGAGCATGGGCAGCTTCTGTTGAAGGTAGAGTGGGTAGCGACTGATGCAGGGAGTAGTTCTGAAAAAAGATACAGGGACAGAGAGAGGACAGAGCAGCCACTTCATGGGGCCAGACATGGGCGCCCCAGGTCCTATCCTTGGCCTGGTCCAAGCGGTCTCAACACCCTTCTACCACCGGTAGCTTTGAGACTTGTTTTCCCCAGCTCCTCCCATTGAGGACCTCTGCACCCCTTTTCCTGGGCCCAAGTTCCATGAGGTGGACAGGCAGAGCTCTGACCTATGGGAGAGCTGTTCCTGGATGTGGCTGAGGGGTACCCTTCCTGGATGGGGGGGTGGCCCCTTGGCTCCTCTAGGGGAGCCTGTGAAGAGAGCTGTAGAATGTGGCTTTGGAAAGAAAGGCCCACTCCCAGGGACACAGCTCCCTACCTTGAGATACTGGGGGCAGGAGTTGAACTGCAGGTAGAAAAGGTGCTGCTTCCAGGAGTTTCCCTTGGGGTAGGTACAGATATAGAAGATCTGGTGGGCCTCAGAGGCCACAAGGCCACAGCTGGGTTGCAGGATGATGTCTGAGCTGCTTTTGGGGGCCAGGCTGAAGGTCAGCAGCACAGAGCCTTTGTTGAGCAGGAGGAGGCTGCGGTAGGAGGGCTCCCCAGGAGACACGGCAGGAAATAGCTGGGGAGTGGGCGAGAAGAGTGGAGAGGGACTCATGCTCACATCTCTACTCCTCTCAGGAAGTGTTTGTGGACCTGGGTGGGGCTGTCTCCAAGGAGATCCTAGATGCTTCTCTACATCCCATTCAACACTCTGGGAGCAAGGAATTGAGGGAGGCTGCAGCCTGGTACCCACAAATGATTCTGTTTTCCAGAGAGCCTCAGTCAAAGAGAGGGGGCTATCACAGAAACAAGGCCCTGGGAAACTCCTCCAAGACCCTTCCTCAAGGTTGGAGTAGAAATTCTTTCATTTTATGGTACACTCTAATCACCTTTTGGAAAACCCACTTGTAGAGATCTTGGTCCAGAAGCTCTGGGATAAATAACCCCTTATAGATGATTCTGATGGAGGTAGCTGAGAGGAACCCCACTCAGAGAAGGGCAACCTCCAGCAATCCCTGCTCCCAAATGCTTACTTTAAGCATGATGGGTAGACCAGCACTTGGCTAGAACTGAACAGGCCACAAAGTACAAGTTTGTACTCTGTGACTAGAGTTCCCATTGAACTGGGAGCCACACAGCCCAGACTCTATCTCAAGGCCCTGAAGAGCGTGGAGGACTCAGCCAGGAGATCTTGTGGGAAATCGAAGTCGGGGTGGGGGCAAGCCTCGTGGGCGGTGTAGGTTTGGGATTTCAAGTCAGAATTATAGATGGTGGGGGGAGCATTGTCACCTTCAAGCAGCTTTCCAACATAGTGAAGCATGAGGGTAGTGAGGACTGTGAGGAAAAGAGACACCGCTGAAGGGAACTGAGAGGATGCATGGACGGACAGTGAAACCACAATTGGCATCCAGCTGCTTTGGGCTGCGAGTGTGGTCTGTACTTTTAAGCCCTATGTTATCCTGCCTCTCAGGTCAGATGGGGCCTCCAGAGACACTTGGGAGAGGCCTGGGAGTTATGACTTCCTGAGGAATGGACCTAAGCCAAGGACTGGTACTGTCTCCCCATAGGGCTGGGTGCTCCCAGGGGCAGGGCTCACGGTGTGGATGTCATCTCCCTAGGCCCTGGTACGGGGCCTGGGGTACGAGGTGCTCAGTAAATGGCATAGACTAATGAAAGTGCTAGATCAGAGGAACATTTCAGAGGGAGCAGGACAGAACCAGCTGCCCAGCTCCTAGACTGCTAGGCCCTCCGTGTCCTCTCCCAGCCCCAGGGTCTGTCCTAGAAAACAATCTTTGGCTGGCCCAGAGCCCAAGGGCTGGCCTAGGGCGACAGGGATGGCCAGGGACCACGTGGGAATGTGTTTCTAAGGCCAGCAAGAGAAGGGGCTTAGTTTGCAGGCCAAGGTGGAAGTGGGGTTCCCTGGCCCCATCTCCCCCTGCTGCAGAGGCCACACTCACCTTGGGGGCATCCAGGGAGTACTGGGGGATGTGGTGCTCGAAAGCAGCAGAGTAGCTATGACCTCGCGCCCGCAGCGTCAGGCACCAGGACGGGCACACCGTGCAGTCTTCCTCAATGTTACTGTAGTTCAGCAGGACCTGGAGGGCCGGAGCCATGGAGAAAACTCAGAGTCCTGGGCTCAGCCCTGGGGGTACCCGCCCTGCCCCCATTCTGCAGGAGTCCTGCACAGGCAGGAGAGCTTTCCCAGGAAAGATGGCCTGAACAACAGCCCTAACACAGCCATCATCCGCCGGCCAGGCCCTGCTCCGGGCACTCAGCAAACACTCTAAAGCTAGCTACCGTCCTGGGAGGAGGGTGGGGCTGGGAAAGAAATGCGGATGTGAAAGCAGCACTCATTCATTAGGAATGAGTCCGAAGCACTGTCCAACAGAAATATAATGCAGGCCATGGTGCCAGCCACCAACGTCATTGTAAACCTTCCAGCAGCCACGGTAAAACATGTGAAATTAATTTTAATAATGTGCTTATTTAACCCAATAGATGAGGAAAAAAAAATCTATTTTAGCCTGTAAGCATTAGTAAAAATTAGGTAGGAGATATTTTGCATTCTTCTTTTCATACTAAAACAAACCAAACCCACTGCCATCAAGTCGATTCTGACTCATAGAGACCCCCCTTGGGTTTCCAAGGCTGTAAATCTTTATAAGATTTGCCTCATACCTCCTGTGGAACAGCTGGTGGGTTTGAACCACCAACCTTCTGGGAGCAGCCAAATGCTTTACCCATTATACCACAAGGGCTTCAAAATCCAGTGTATATTTTACACTGATAACACCTCTCAGTTCAGACCAGCTGTGTTTCAGGTGCTCAGTAGCCACACGTGGCTGCTGGCTGCTGTATGGGATAGCACAGGTCCTTAACCTAAAAATCTGACATGCTCAGCCTCCAAGCCCAGGTGTCCCCAAGCCTTATGCCTACACACCTGCAGCTACTAAGATGTTAGAATGGAGGCAATAAAAGGAGGCTTTGAAGCACCCTCAAAATTTTGGTTATGACCTCATGTTTACAGATGGAAAGACCAGGGCTCACAGACACTGAGCATTTTGCCCAGCGTCACACAGCTGGTAAATAACTCTTGATCTTGACTGCAGGCTTCTGCTTGACTCTCTTCCTGAGTACCCCACCTCTGCCACTGGCAAAGAGCAACAGCAGGTGGGCAGACCCAAGAAGGAAGAGAAAGGGCAGGACTAACTGGGGATAAAGGAGCCTTGATGGTACAACGGTTAAGCACTCGGCTGCTAACTGAAAGGCTGGCAATTCCAACCCACCAGCAGCTCTGTGGGAGAAAAGACCTCAGGATCATAAAATTACAGCCTGGAAAACTCTATGGGGTAATTCTACTCTGTCATATATCGGGATGGCATACAACAACAACTGGGGGTGAGGTGGGAGAGGGGCAGAGATGCATCTTAGAGTAAGGGGACTTGCTGGGCTGGAGGCAGCCTGTGCACCTACTAGGAGCCCCTTCATAACACTGTTCGCCAGGCCCTGGCTCTTGCCCATGGCAGCCACAGCTCCTTTGGAGGGACCACTGTTCCTATCTCAGGGATTGGAGGATAAGCTAGCTGGAAGCCCCAGGGAGCCAAATTTGATGGCAGCTGAGTTCTCCATTTGGAGAGGGTGGGAGGGCACACATAAACTAGACATAGTCAGGTGGGCCTGGAAACACCTTGGCTAAAGAAAACGATGCATCTGGAAGAAGGCAAGGGGAGCGAGAAAAGCCTGGGTTGGAGAGACTGGGTCCTTGCAACACCCTCTACCTCCCCACCCCATCCCGACATTCAGGGGTCAGGACAGACCTGCTGTCCTCCACATGCAAACCTTATAGATAGCAAAGGCTTCCAACTCCACTGAGTATAGGCAGTTGGGGTGCAGTGGCTGGAAGTGCAGGCGCATGGCGGTAGACTTGAGTGGGGGCACATCGCAGGTGACTGGGCTCACCCAGAAGGGACAGTGAGGCCTGCGTATCCAGACCACGGTGATCTTGCCCTTTGTGTGGTTCATCAGGCACAGGGGGACAGGGTTGGGGTTCTCAGGCCTGGGACAAGCACCAAAGTCCACCTCGATGGGCTCCATGCTGACAGGCGGTGGGAAGATGGCCATGTTGTTGGTGCCGTTGTAGAAGTACTCAGTCATGGGAGGGATGGCAGGGTACTGCTGGGGTGGCTTGTCCTCCAAGTCCTGCGTGGGGAGACACGGGTGCACCCACCATCCGCACTACTACTGCCCCTCTTCTGCCCACTCCTCTCTAGAAAAGGCTGAAAGGGCTTCACACAGATCTCCCCCAGCAGCTAATGGTGACTGCAGAACTCCAGGGACAAGGGCCACCCTAGGGATGCTAGAGAAGGGGATCTGAACGTAGGGAGGGAAGGGAGCCTGCCCCAGGGGGCTCTGGGGGGTCTGCACATACCTCGCTGATCATGAGGGCCCCATCCTTATCCTGCCCCAGCCTGTTCTCCTTCACCATGGTGCCCAGGATGTCAGGAGGGTAGAACGTCAGGCCCCGTGCCAGGTGTGTGCGGTACCAAGTGAGGTGCTGGGGCCTCAGGATGGCCGGCTTGGTATTGTCTGAGTGGCAGGTTCCAATCAGGTCCAGGAACACTGGCTCCTGCAATGTCGTGAGAGACAGGACATGGGGGGGCGGGGAGAAATGAGGGTGCTGGTGGTAGAACTGAGGACAGAAGGGGAGAGAGTATGAGGGGCAGCAGGGCAGAAGTCACAGGGTGGTAGGCCAAGTGAGCATCCCAACAGTTGGGGAGACGGTGGGAGCCAGGGATGGTCAGGACCTAGAACAGCACCCAGCCCTTCAGCGCCCTGGGCCATAGCGTGCTCTCCCCCTCTGATCCGGGCATTCTATTGCTCATCCTACTGCCAGCCAAGAGACCGAGCTCAGGCCTCCCCTAGAGCAGGACAGAGATCTCACCAGGCCCTCCCTCTGCTCTGTGTCCTTTCCTGCCACCCCAGGGGCTGCCCAGCCATAGCACACCTTCATGAACCATGAACTAGGAAAAGACCCTCTCCTCTGAGTAGACAGATGCAGCTCAGAGCTCGGGCACATGGCTCAGGGGTGGGACTTGGGCTAGATTTCACACCCTATTCACCCCCTTGGCTGGGCCCCCTGGTCAGGGAACAGCTTGTACAACAGTACCCAGGGGCCTGGGTTGGGGTCCTCACCTTAAGGCCCTCTGCCCGGCACATGCTGTGTGGCATATGGCCCAAACCTCCCTCTCCCCAGCCTAACAGCAGCAGCAGAAGTGTCCCTGGCCAGGAGCAGTCAAGACAAGATTGAGATCCCCACCTGCCCAGAGTGAGTCCTCATAGGCCCCTGGAGGAGGATATGCTCCAGGCAGACAGCCCCAGAAGTTTAGATGGGCACCAAGCCTTGTCTTCCTCACTGGCCTCAGACTGGTACTTCCACTGCCCTATACATGGTTCTTCCCCAGGGGAACCCCTTCTCCCTTGGCTCCACTCCTCCCTGACTACTCACCTGGTGATGGATGAGACAGGCAACCCTCCGGAAGTAGATGATGGGGTGAGTGGGCTGAAAGGTGCAGTGCAGGGTCATGCGGGTCTTGCCCACCAGGGTCCCAAAGGTGGGCTGGATGCTGAAGACGCTCTCCTGGCAGTCAATGGCAAACTGGAAGTAGGCCGTGCAGTTCGCCCTGTTCTCAATCCACAGGGACTTCTCAGCATGCATCCCGAGGCTGATCCAGCTGAAGTTGATGCAGTTGTACTGCAGGGACACAGCTGGACCTGGCATGGGAGACAGGGGCCTATGAGTGGCTCTGCCACCTGCATAGAGCTGGGGTGTCCCCAGTGATGTCTCAGAAAGGGCCCCTGCTGGAGACAGAAGGCCAGGTTGGGAAGGCCAGAGCCCCAACCGCTGTAGCCAAACGCTAGCATGACCAGAGGGGATGGCAGCATCAGAATCTCAGAGGTCCACAGTGATTCCTCATAGAGCCCACCAGGGGGCAGCAGACACCGAGACTGTGGAGCAAGGAGGCAACTGGCTCTTACAAGCCTGGGGGTGGGGTTGGCACGCCAGTGGATTTCACAATCTTAAGAGTGGGTGAAAGCTGGCCAATGATTATGGGAGGCCAAAAAATAATTGATTCCTTTGAATTGTGGTGTTGGCGAAGAATATTGAAAGCACCATGGACCGCCAGAAGAATGAATAAATCCATCCTGGAGGAAGTACAGCCAGAGCGCTCCCTAGAAGCGAGAACGGCCGGACCTCATCTCACCTACTTTGGTCGTGTTGTCAGAAGGGACCAGTCCCTGGAGAAGGATGTCATGCTTGGTAAAGTGGAGGGTCAGCAAAACAGGGGAAGACCCTCAATGAGATGGACTGACACAGTGGCTGCAACAATGGGTTCAAGCACAGTAAGAACTGCAATGATGGTGCGGGACCGGGCAGTGTTTCCTTCTGTTGTACACAGGGTTGCTGGCAGCCAAAGCCAACTCAGCAGCCCTGAACAACAGCAACAAGAAGGGTGGGCTGCTCCTGTTCCCAAGGAGTGCAGCATCCTGGGGAAGCTAGTACCTGTACAGAAACCAACCACTTTGAGCAGGGTTTGGGAGGCACAGCCAGAGGGCATGATGGAGATGTAGTCCACAGTTCTGACGTCCAGGGTCTCGGGGTGGAAGAACACAGACACGCATTTCCTCTCTCCTGGGCGCATGATGCCAAGGGCTGTGTGGCACGAGAAGGCCTGGTCTTTGACCAGCATGTCTGGGGCCACTTCAATCCTGAAGGGGGCGTTCACCTGTGAGGCCAGGTGGGGCAAGGAAAGTCAGGTCCCAGTGTGAAGACAGTCTATGGATCAGACTGAGGAGCCCGGCCAAGGGGATACAGGTAGCTGGTGTCCAGCCTGAGCTCCCTTGTCAAGCCATGACCGTGTGGGAAAGCTACCGCCACCTATGGGAAGGAAGGGGCAAGCGACGTGCCCTGCCCTGGCACCGCCTAGAAACCAAAAAACTCAAAACCATTGCCTGTGGGGTCAATTCTGACTCACGGCAACCCTATGTGCTGCAGAGTAGAACTGAATGCCACAGGGGTTTCTCGGCCGTCATCTGTGAACCAAATTGCCTGACCCTTCTTTTATGGTGCCACTGGGTAGGGTCAAACTGCCAATCTTTCGGTCAGTAGCTGTGCATAAGCTGTTAGCACCACTCAGAGACCTTGACCACCCAGAGGGGCACCTTTTTCCTGTTATCACGAAGGCCCCCATAAAGGCCAGTGGTAGTCCTCTTGAGATGCTCTTGGGGTTATCTGCAGTTCAGGTGATACTCCAGCCCAGCCCCCAGCTGAGAGGAGAGGGGCGTTCATAGAACAGGGAGTACAGGAGGCCTGGGGCTGAAGGTCTAGGGAGGAAGGGGGGCGCTCTGGAAAGGGATAGGATTTAGGAGTACCCAGCCTTGCGGTCCCTGGATCAGGGCACATACCACTGATGGATTATACAGCTTGATCTGCCGCTCAGCAATGCAGCCTACAGCAACAGAGCCAAAGTGCAGCACCTTCTGGCAGCCCTCGGTGTCCTGGTCCTCGGGCCGCTTCTGCCTTATGCTCACCAGCAGCTGGGCACACTTGGCTAGGGCCAAGACAGGGACTCTGGAGGGGACCTGCCAGGGCCTTGTGACCCCAGCTGGGCAGCCCCTCTAAGAGGGCAAATGTCCCCAGGGAAAAATCAGTCTGCAACCCCAAGGCAGGCAAAGTGGGCAGGGCTGAGGAGAGGGCAGGAGGCTGGGCTGGGAGAAGAACCCTGGGGGCCAGGTCAGGAGGTGGGGGGCTCACTGAAGCTATGAGATCCAGGGATCAGGGCCCGGGGAGGGTGCAGCCTCACCCACAGCCTGCAGCTGGATGCCGATCTTCTGCTTACTGCTGTCCCCATACCAGCACGTGGCCTGCACCTCATGGACGACGGCCGTAAGTGGCTGGAAGGTCACCTTGACCCGGCAGACCTGGCCTGGCTCCAGCAGCCCCGTGGTGGGCAGGATCTGGAAGGGGCTGGGCAGCTCCCAGGTGAAGAAGGTGGGCAGGTCCCTGGGGGAGGGGAGAGAGCTCCTGGGCTCCTTCTGGTACTACCCTGCTTTCTAAAGCTGGAGAGGCTGGCAGCCCACCCTCCAAACCTCCCCATCCAGGATAAGCTGGTCCCTCCTGCTCCCAGGCACCCCCGCCACTGTGAGGAAGAGTGAGGCTCAGCCTCTCCGCTCACCCCACGTTGTCCAGGCAGAACCAGGCCTCAGCCATGTCCCCCACAGTGCACATGGGCAACTGCAGGGACAGCGGGCAGCTCAGCTTGTGGCGAGGCAGCACGGCCCTCAGGTCCACACAGAACGTCCCTTCTGCTTTCTCAAACCACAGCTGGTCCTTGTACTCCTTCTGCAGCATCGGGGGAAGGGAAGGAGGGCAGGGTCGGGCACCGATCAGGGAACATGCAGCCTCCCCCAGCCCTCAGCCACCCCCAACACGATGACTAAGGGCTGCACTAGGTGGCACCTATTCTCGGTCTCCAACACTGTCTTGGTTTCAGAGATGTCAGGGGCTTTCATTGTGGGTAATGAAGTATGTCAGGGGAAGTTTTGGGGAACAGGAAGAGGCCAAGGCATCTAGGGTGGCCAGGACAGGATCACAGCCTTTACCCGTCTTCCCAATATTCAGCAGATGTCCCTCTCTCCAGTGAGATTAAGGTCTGCGCCCCTCTCCCAGTTTCCCAAGCTGGGGTTTGCTGTGGCAGCACAGTGAGTGAGTAGTGGAGGTGCCACTTAAAAAGCCTGCTGTTCTGCCTGGCCTCTTATTCTGAGATTACAGTTCCCATGTCCCTCCCCACCGTCTTCTCGCTGTGATGGACCTTACCTCCTCCATAGGCCTGAAGAAGATGGGAAGAGTGAAGGTGATGCCCGGACTCAGTAAGATGGGCTGAGGGATAACCGTGAAGAAGAACTTTGTCGTGGGAGGCCTGCAGGAGAACCAGGGGAGAGGAAGTTCAGGAGCAGGGCTGAGGAAACCAGGGGGAAGAAGATTAAGGGAGATCCTAGAGGAGCTCTGGTGGTGTAGTGCTTAAGGCACTTGACTGCTAACCAGAAGGCTGGCGGTTCAAACCCACCAGCCACTCCTCGGAAGGAAGGTTGGGCAATCTACTTCCATAGTGATACTGCCTTGGAAACCCAAGGAGGAGTCACTATGAGTCGGATGCAACTCGATGGCACATAACAACAACAACAACAACAGCTGTCAGGGTATGAGTCCTTGAGCCCACAGAGGAACAGTCGATGACTCCATGGAGGAGGAGTCATAGGGGTCTGTCTCAGGGGACCTGTCTCCCTCCTTCACTGGGCCCCTCTATTGCTTTGTTGTTGAGGGTCATTGTTTCGACTGACCCACAGTGGCCCCAGGTGATAGAGTAGAGCTGCCCCATAAGGTTTCTTTTGCTGTAATCTTTAAGGAAGCAGATTGCCAGGGATTTCTCTCAAGGAGCCACTGGGTGGGTCTGAACTACCAGCCTTTCGATTAGCAGATGAACGCTTAACCATTGCACTGTCAGGACTCACTGGGCCCCCTCTGGCCCTTGCTTTTCCCTCAGACCTCACTCCAGGATGTCAGGGCATTGGACAAGGGCACAGCAGCAGCATTTGTCGGTCTGCTCAGCCTGGTGCTCAGTGGGGAGAGGGATGGGGAAGGGCTGCCTTGATTTAACAAGATCCCTGACCACTTAGCTGGAGGAAACCCAGGCTGGGAGGGGAGGTGCTGGGGACGCCTTTCCAAGCACAGACCTCAGCAGAGCTGCAGAGTCCCGGGGGGGCCACAACTCAAGATACTTCAGACTTTAAAATGTGGATAATAAGAGGATATTTTTCATAGCTCCGTATCAATAAATGTTAATGTTTCAATGAAATAATCATATTCCCAGGAAAATGTAATTCAAGACTGACTCAAAAATTATGCAATAAGTTTGATGGCTGTTGTCGTTTGTTGTTGTGTGCCGCTGTGTCAATTCCCACTCCTAGCGACCCTATGGGACATTGCAGAACTGCTGTGTAGGGTTTTCTAGGTTGTGACCTTGACGAGAGCAGGTCACCTGGTCTTTTCTTTTGCAGAGCTGCTGGGGGGCAGGTTCGAACCAATAACTTTTGCTTAACCATGGTGTCACCATTGATTCTTTAACTTTGATGGCTACTCTATCTAAATTCATCAAGAAACTGAATAGATCATTAAAAAAAAAAAAAAAAAAAACTTCCCACAAAGAAAATGCAGTGCCAGATGGCTTCATTGCAAGTCCTACCAGGCATCTGAGGAAAATAAGTTCCAGTCTTACATTCTTAAAAAAAAAAAAAAAAAAAACCACTGTCATAGAGTCGATTGTTTCCAAAGCTGTAAATTTTTACGGAAGTAGATTGCCTCATCTTCCTCCTGTGGAGCAGCTGGTGGATTTGAACCACCAATATTCTGGCTAGCAGCCAAATGCGTTACCCACTATGCCACCAGGGCTAAACTCTCCCAAATCATATGTGGACTACTCTCCAACTTATTCTATTAAACCATGATAACATTGCTACCTTCATTGGCAAATTACCAATCAGTCTCATTTGGAAACAAAATATTAGCAAAAAGAATTTAGTTATATACAGAAAGGATACTCAGTAATGACCAAGTTGGGTTTATTCCAGGAATACCTGGCTGGTTTAGCACAGAAGTTAATTAATATACTCTACTATATTAACAAATTTAAAGAGAAAATCAAACTATCATCCCAATAGATAAAGAAAATTAAGTGCCAGCCTCTACTTATGAGAAAAATTCTCAGCAAACTAGGAATAGAAGGAATTTCCTTCACTTGATAAATAAAATCTCCATTTAAAAAAGCTAGCAGAAACATAATTTAAGGAAATGTTGGTATTTCCCACTTTGAGAGTGTGGACAAAACAAAATGACTTCTATAACTCACTTCTGTTCACCACTTTCCTACTCAAGGAAAGTAATTGCAGTGAGCCAAGAACAGGTATAAGGACTGGAGAGGAGAAAGAAAAATGCCATGTTCCCATAGAAAATATCAGTGTACACATGGAAAAAAAAAAAAAGAGGGTCAACAGATAAATTATAAGAATGAATAAGAGGGTTTACTGAATATATAAAATCCATATAAAAACAAGTGACTTTCTAAAAACCAGCAACAAACAGGAAATGGAAACAATTTTAAAAGAGACTCTGGTATAATAGGGGCTAAGACGCTTGCCTGCTAACCAGACGGCTGGCGGTTCAAACCCACCAGCCACTCCTCGGAAGGAAGGTTGGGCAATCCTACTTCCGTAGTGGTACTGCCTCGGAAACCCAAGGAGGGGTCGCTATGAGTTGGGTGGGGCCGACTCGAGGGCACAAAACAACAACAACAACAACAATGTACAATGTCATAAAAAACTATAAAATACTTAAGAATAAATCTAACTATAGATGTATAAGACATCTATGGAGAAAACATTTTATTGAGAAACATGGAAAAAGACTTAATTATAGAGACACCCCACGTTCATGAATTGCAAGACTCAATATTGTAATGGAATAGAGTCTCCCCCAATTGATAATTAACCTATAGATTTAACTATGTCCCAATCAAACCTCGAAGTGTGTGTGTGTGTGTGTGTGAGAGAGAGAGAGAGAGAGAGAGAGATAAGTTGATTTGGGGGTTTATATGGGAGAACAAAGGATCAAGGATAGCCAAGATGATATTAAAGGAGTACAAAGTTAGAGAACTTGAACTACCAGCTATTGAAAACTACTATGAGCTTTCCTAATTAATGCACGGTGGTACTGGCCCAGGAATAGACGAATAGATCAAGGAAACAGAGTCCAGAAATGGATCCATACATGTACGGACACTTGATACATGGCAGGGAGGGAAATCGCCAGGGGAAGGACGAACTTCCCAATAAATAGTGGTGGGACAATTAAGCATTCAGTTGACAAAAAAAAAAAAAAAAAGTCACTATATCTCCACTTCAAATGATTCACAAAAATCAATTTCATATATGTGGTAGTTAAATTGTATGTCAGCTTGGCTGGGCTTGGTTTTGAGAGGCTGGGCATAGAGAAAGATTTCGTTCTTCCTTTCTTTTTTTTTAATGCATGATGAGACTGATAATCAGCTCCATGGTGGAATCTACTGGAACAGCTGAGTAGCTGCCTTAGGGATGTGGTGTGGTTCCAGTATGTAAGAAGAAGCATTGAAAAAGGTCTCTAGAGCTTTTTGGCACACCTGGACCCTGTATGTAGCCAAGTCTTCACTCAGTAGCCTGCCATGTTTCCTGCCAATCTTGGGACTGTCTCTGGAATTGAACTAGTGACCTGCCATGTTGTTTGGTAATCTTGAGACTGTGCCAGGGTTGTATCCTTTCACCATCCTTATTTAATCTGTATGCTGAGCCAATAAACCGAGTAGCTGGACTCTATGAGGAAGAACGTGGCATCAGGATTGGAGGAAGACTCATTAACAACCTGAGATATGCAGATGACACAACTTTGCTTTGCTGAAAGTAAGGATGACTTGGAGCACTTACTGATGAAGATTAAAGACTACAGTCTGAAGTGTGGATTACACTTCAATATAAAGAAAATGAAAATCTTCACAACTGGACCAATAAGCAGTATCACGATGGATGGAGAAAAGATTGAAGTTGTCAAATACTTCATATTACTTGGTTCTACAATCAATGCCAATGGAAGCAGCAGTCAGGACATCAGACAACATATTGCACTGGGAAAATCGGCTGCCAAAGACCTCTTTCAGGTGCTGAAGAGCAAAGATATCTCCTTGAAGACTAAGATGCACCTAACCCAAGCCATGGTGTTTTCAATTGCCTCATATGCATGTGAGAGCTGGACAATGAATAAGGAAGACTGAAGAAGAGTTGATGCTTTGAGTTGTAGTGTTGGCAAAGAATGCTGAAAGTACCAGGGACTGCTAAAAGAACTAACAAATCTGTCCTGGAAGAAGTGCAGCCTGAATGCTCCTTGGAAGTGAGAATGGCCAGACTTCTTCTTACCTTGTTTGGTCATGTTATCAGAAGGGACCATTCTCTGGAGAAGGATGTCATGTTTAGTAAAGTGGAGGGTCAATGAAAGAGGGGAAAGCCCTCAACAACATGGGCTGACCTGGTGGCTGCATGTAATAGGGAAGAGTGAGCTTCAAGACACTGTTATTAATTTATTCTTTAATCTGGTCACATGGGTTCTACTTCCTATAATTCCCTATAGTTCTTCAAACTGCACACTCTTCTAAAAAAGAGTTTTATACAGGCTTCTGATTTTATATGATATTTTAAAAGTGTGAGGTTTGAAAGCTTGAGGGCTTAGGAACTGGGTCCCTGACACCCCCCACCCCCATCCTGGTACCTGTACTTAATCTTCTGGATTTTCATGGATAGGTTTTTCAGCACCAGGTTCTTGGTCATCTCCTTCCCCAGCTCCCAGCCCTTCCAGCGCAGCTCCTCCACAACCTCGATACCCCAGATGACTCTTCTCCTCACTTTGTTCTGCTTCGTTGAGAAGCACATCTGTGCTTTCTTGGTCCTGGAAGGTTGCTTCAGTTGTCAGGGAGAAGGGAGAGAGGAAAGGACACATTTTTGGTATAGGATTCAAAGACCCAGAGAACTGGCAAAGATCTTTCTCTTCAAAGGGTAAAGGATTACACCACCCTCTGCCCCTGGGGGATGGTCTAAAGAGAGAAAGTGAGGAATATACAGGCTTTGGGGTCAGATATTATTTATTCCACAGTCACTAGTATGTTTCTCCAACTAAATTCCCTTCCCTAGGCCACGCCATCCAGCAATTTCACCCAGCATACATATACAGACTTGGCTGCCTCTTCCGTCCTCCATGTACCCTTCTCCCTCAAGGGCTCTCTCCTCCTCCCCTTCCTCCCCATCCTATCCCTCCTTTGCAGAGCCTCTCCTAGCTGGAGCAATCTCTGCCAGGCACTCTTCCTGACCTGAGGGGTGATCCACCATTCCCTGTCCCCTCCCTCAACTGCCTGGTGGAAGAGAGGGAGAAGCCAATTTGCCTGGGACCCAGCCCCACTCCAGCCCCTGTCTTCTGGGGCTGTCCCTGTCTGTAACGAAAGATTGTTTCATAGGCTGATCCATAACCCCTCTCTATCTGAGGAGGGTGAAGTGTAGGGAAAAAAAAAACCTGGTGAGAGGACTGAAGCAGGTGCTTACCACTGTCATCACTGTGAATGTTCAACTCATTGTCATTATATTTTCCCCTTGACCAGTTATTGCTTTTATATTGTTATATCATATAAGTATGTATTCACTTGTTGGACAAATTTGTTGACCGCTTATGTACCAGATAGTATGCTAGTGCTGGGACTACAATGATGAACAAGACTGACAAATCCTTCTCTCTTGGAGCTTACATTCTCAGTTTTCATATTTACAAAGAGCATGAGTGGCCAACATAGTGTTCTCTTTCTGTGTTTACCCATGGAGGAAAGATGACATGGTGGACAAGAGGTAATTTATTACAAACTTAGTTGGTGCACATGGATAAACTCAGAAAACTTTACACTGAGAGAAATATGTCTATTGTGAAAGGACAAAAACTCTATAATCTCACTTACGTGAAATAAGCAAATACCGAAAGCAGAGATTCTTCATGGTTATGGTGTGGGAGGGAACTCTTCTTCTTAGGGGCACTAAGCTTATGTTAATAGTGGTGGGATAATTTTGAAAAAGAGATCTCTAAAGGTTGCACAACATGAAAAATATCAGTGTCACTAAATTGTACACGTGGAAATTGTTGAACTGGTGAAGGTTTTGTTGTATATATTTTTACCACAATTTAAAAAATCTTAAAAACACAACACTTAGTTGGTGCATCAGTCAGGGTCCAACCAAGAGAACAGAGCCACTGTAGATGCTCAAAGTAGGGAATTTAACCCAGGGAATTATTTTCACAACCAGGGGCTAGTGAAGTAACCCCAGGAGTTAACAACATCAGAAGCTGCTACCACACCTAGATCAGAGAGGTAAAGGGAAGAGGTGGGGTTTCTAAAGCCCAGAGACCTGTCTGGTGGGAGCTGGAGCCATGGAGGAGGTGTGGCCTCCATGGACGCACTGCCCAAAGCAGTCATGGAGGAAGAGAACTACCATGGCTTCTCTCTTCTTCCCACTTTCCACTCTCCTGCCAGCTCAGAGCACAGCCAGGGAAGGACAAAGAGTAGATCTGAGATCAAACAGTCCTGGAATGGCACACATGGAAGGATGAAATGGCTTCCAAAATATGGTCCCCAGTCTACAGGGAGGCCAGTATAACCACCATCAATCTACCGAGGCACCCAAAACCCACATATAACACCAAACATGAAGTCATACCTTGTAGTCAACCTATACACCACCCCACATCTGCACTGTCACATAGAACCACCGTTACACAAAGTAAATAACAGCTCTAAAAATTCCTCCAGAGGTCAAGACCAGAAGAACTTTCTGAGGAAAAAAAGAAGTACTGGCTACCCACCAGCCCCTGACTCATTCCTCTCTAGAGTTCCTCTCCCCCACACCAGGTGTTCTCACTGTGTTCCTTACTGCTACTGCCATTCCAGTCTATTTAGTGCTTAATCTATGCAGGGTGTAGTACTGGGCTTACACAGGAGAGTCAAGTCCTCTCGGATTCCCAGCATCACTGATACCCATGTCTCTACCTTGTGCCTGTTGTACCCTGCTCCACCCACCCTGGACATGTCCTCACATGGGTGTTGACGTTGCCACTGCTGCAAGGACTCATGACCGCACTGCTGCCATTGATGGTGGTGGTGGCCATTGTGCTGGCACTCAGGCACGTTGTGGAGTTCATGGTGAAGTTCCTGCTGTCCCTGAACACCAGATGCCTGAAACACAGGTTCAAGGGGAGCATTCTGGTAAACTTAGGAGTTCCTGACAGATCCTGGCCCAAGCTTGGAGCTGGGAAGAGACCAGAGTGGAGATAAGAAGGACAAGACACATGAGAGATCAGGGAGTAGACTCATTGGGGTCATCATTATCATGGAGGAGACAGCCTGCTGCCAGCCATGGCAACAAGTATGATGTGACACTGTGAAGGATGAGACTGAACACAAGATCCAGAGCTTTGCTTGGAAACCTGGAAATCATCACTCGGGAAAGGTACTTGGAAGTGGGGCTTGGGAGAAAGCCCCCCCAACCACATCCCTCTATGGATACAGCCACAGTTGGCATTATTCAGCAAGCACACAGAGAGTATTACTGAAACGTGTGTGTTATGTTTATGGCTTCTACTCTCCACTTGTTTCTGCTGAGTGTGTCTTGCCTCCTGTGAAATAAGGAGCAAAGGAAAGACAAATGGACTTCTTGCCCTTCTAGGTTTTTTTCCAGCAGTGCACAACCTGTAACCTAGGATCCAAGTAAAGATCTACTGAAATGAGTCACTCAACCAAAGAACAGATGAACCAATCTCTCAAGGTGCTTAACCCTAGTGGGGCATGGATGGGCTGCAGCTGAAAATTACATGCAAAATGTTGTGTGTGTGCTCTTTTCCAGAGAGAGTGTCCACAGTTTTCACCACATGCTTAAAAGGGCGTTTGGCCCTGCACTAGGAGACAACAAACCCCCTCTTCCTCAGCTGGCTTCCTTTATCATACACATCTACATCAAAAGACACAAATTTTCACACTCAGACACTCGAAGTATGGCCAACCCTGCTCAGGAACACGTGCAAGTGGTTTGCAGACTTCTACAATGATCCACCTTGAAAAGTTCGGCTGTAATTTCTCTTTGAGTTCTATGTGGGGCCATCATTCATGAAACCACAAAACAGAACACTGCCCCCCCAAAAAATATAATGCAAGCCCCATATGGCAATCCTAAATTTTCTAGTAAAAAGAAACAGGTAAAATTAATTGCAATAGTATACTTTATTGAACCTAATAGATCCAAAATACTATCATCTCAACATGTAACAGATATAAAAACTATCAATGAGATATTTTGAATTCTCTTGTTTTGGACTAAGTCTTTAAAATCTGGTGTGTATTTTATACTTACAGCACATCTCAATTTGGCCAACCATCTTCTTCAAAGATCTTTCTTCAAAGATTGAAGAGCTCAGGTGACACGTTTCTAGTGGGTACTAAATTAGAAACATCAATCTAATACCTTTTTTGAACACAGGTATATTTTTCAGGCTACTCAGTATCTTTTCCCAACTCTTGGAATAACAATCTCAAAAACAGCAACAACTTCCACTGACATTTCCAGAGAACGTATCATCTGCCAGTCAAAGTCGCAAAGCCTCCTTATGTATTTTAGTCCTGACAACAGTTTATGATTAGATGTGAACTGCCCTTTTTTAGCCTAAAATGATCTCGTTTCAAGTTTGGGATTCAGCTCCTTCTTATGACATACTCAGACTGCCATACCAGGATACTGAGTAGTGGGAAAGAATATACATGTAAACAATTTCATGGTCACCTTTTAGTAATTTACACACTTCCATCAGAGACTCTCCCACCCCCTCACCACCCTCTATCCAGAGCAAGAGATTCTGCAGAATTTTTCCTGGTTGTCAATGTCCCCAAAACCCCCTATTGGAGGTGACTATCACAAAGCATTGACTGAATGCCTAAAATGCAGTAGGTACTGGACAAGACAATCAAGGACCCCACCTTCTACTGGGAAGTGGCCATTCAGGTGGAATAAAGAAACGCAGGCTGGGGAGAAAGGCAGAATGTGGATTTTGCCACTGGAAGGCCCTCAAGTCCTGCCCTGTCTCATTACTGTTTCTGACTTTAGGGGTTTATACAGACAGCTCCTGCCTCAGGGCTCTGAAAAGTCTCCAGTCAATATATGGAACTACCCCCACAGAGTGCACAGAAGCAATGGGAGACCACAGGGTAGAAAACTGGTCCATCCCAGGTCACAGGACTTAGGGGAGTGAGCACTGAACCCGGAACAAGGAAAGCAGGGTTTCAGCATCTGCTCCCTCTGTTGAAATGGCCAAGTCTCTCCATAGCCCCAAGCCTCAGTCTCCTCACCTGCAAAGTAAGGACTTACCCTGACTGCTTCACACGTGTGTAGCTAGAATTAAGTAGAGAATTTGGAAAGACCACTAGACAAACGTATGCTACTATCACTAACAATCACAATTTCCACCCTGGCCAGCACTGTTCTTCCAATGACCACCACGTCTGCAATCATTGTGGACACACTGGGCAAGTAGGATTTTTTTAAATCCAATTTTCTAATCTAGATGACTT